AAAAAAAAAAACCTCTCCAAAAGAAGAAGGAAAAAAAAAGATTGGCCTCTTATCCTAAAGTTCATCTCTGAGTTTCAGAAGTTTCTAGTTCTTTTATTTTTTCCAAGTTTATTTATTTATTTCATGGGTGAGAAGCACCCTCAAGAGGGTCTCATACCATGATCTGCCCTCATCTCTCCCAGTCAGCAGGATCACAGACACACACTCAGTGTGTAAGCCAACCCAGGAACTGAATTACAATCTAAATGGTTTCCAGGGTCACAGAGTGCTATGTTATATCGCTGTGCCTGGGTCAAAGTTTCTATTTCTCTTCTATTTGCCAGAGTGTGCGTGTGCTTGTTAGAGAGAGAAAGTACCCTCTCCCCCCATGAGGCGTGGTCACTCCACAATCATTTGTCCTCCATTTCTCCATCCGGCCAGGATTTTGGGCATGCATGCACAGTGCCTGATGGTTTTTCAAGCCACAGGAGCCAGAATTAGAACTGCAGTCAGCCATGCAGGATGCGGCTTCTCATGCACAGTGCTCAACCACTATATTACAAGGCTCTCTCTAGTCCTTAAAAAAAGGAAACCTACCTCTTCAGGCTCTGGTATTCCTTTTATTTTTTTAAGTAAATCTCTGAACTCACCTGGACGCCAGTTATAGTTGTTTGGTTGACTCCAAAAGGTTCTATAGAAGTGACTTCCAACACAGCAGTACCTGCAATGGAACCAGCTTTCAGGAGTCCTTGGCCATCCTCTTCAATGACAGATGAATTAGGGAAACACTTGAGAACACGGGAACTCACAATGGCAGCGCCTTCCCTAGGGAACAAATGGAGCAAGTGGCATTTTTTAAAAAAAGAATTATTTACTGTATTTATTATTATTATTTTTAAAATTTGCTATAGGGATGGGACCAGCAGGTGGTGTGGTGGCTAAGGCACTAGACACACCCACATGTCTAACCACAGTTCAAGTCCCAGAACTGGTGGTGTGGTTTTTCTCTCTCTCTCTCGGTGTGTGTGTGTGTGTGTGTGTGTGTGTGTGTGTGTGTGTGTGTGTTGCTCTCCCTCTGGTCCAAATGAAAAATAAATGAATAAATAAAGTTAAATAAATAATTCTTTTTTTTTTCTTTTGGAGAGGTTTTTCACTATAGGGCGTGTGCGCTCACCAGACAGACAGAGAGAGACAGAGAGACAGAAAGCGAGAAATCACCCCCCAGTGGGGATGGCCACTCCACAATCCCTTCTCCTCCATTCTCCTCTCGGGATCTTAGGCATGCACACACACGTGCCCGGCGTGAGTTTTAAGCCACCGGGTCTGGGATGCGAACTGCGGTCGACTACATGGGAGTCCAGCGACATAGCCATTACGCTAACTGCTGGTCCCTTAAATAAATAATTCTTTTAAAAAACTTAACTTATATAAAAAAAATTTTGCAGGGCATATACACTCATCAGAGAGAGAGACAGAGAGAGAGAGAGAAAGTGAGAAAGCAAGCCACCAGGTCTGAGATTCAAACCATTGTTAGCCATGTGGGAGTCCAGTACCCCAAACAAAACACCACCTGCTGGCCCCGCAAGTGACATCTTTTGGGGGCCCAGTCCTACTAGAGAGAAAGGAGTAGACTGCCAAGATTATAGTTAGAGGTTGTACTTGAGGAAGCTGCTTGCTATTCTTCATGTTGTGTGCTTATTTGTTCCTCAGATGGCAATTATAATTCTCTGGATTATGTTTATCTCTTTAAAAATCAGATCTTGGGACTGGCAGGTGGTGTGGTGATTAAGGTGCTGGACTCCCACATAGGCTACCACGGTTCGAGTCCCGGACCCAATTCAAGTCCCAGAACTGGTGGCTTGCTTTCTCACTTTCCCTCTGTCTCTCCCTATCCCTCTCTGGTCAAATTAAAATAAGTAAGTAAATAAATAAAGTTGAATAAGATAATTCTTTAAAAAATATTTTCCAGTTTTTCTTCTTCTTCTTTTTTTTTTCCTGAGAGGTTTTTGCTATAGGACATGTGCAGTCGCCAGAAAGACAGAGAGACAGAAAGTGAGAAATTGCCCCCCAGGGCAGATGGCCATGCCACAATCCCTTTTCCTCCATTCTCTTGGGATCTTGGGCATGTATGCACATGTACCTGGTATGAGTTTAAGCCACCAGGTTAAGGACTCGAACCGCAGTTGACTACATGGGAGTCCAGTGAGATAGCCATTATGCCAACTGCTGATCCCTCCCAGTTTTTTATTTCAAAGAGAGATTTTTGCTGTAGGACACATGCACTCACTGGAGAGACAGAGAGACAGAAAGTGAGAAATCACTCCCTAGGGGGATGGTCACATTGCTTTCCCCTCTCCTCCATTCTCCTCTTGGGATTTTGGTGATGCATGCACATGTGCCCAGCATGAATTTCAAGCTGCTGAGTCTGGGATTCGAACAACAGTCAGCCATGTGGGAGTCCCTTGATGTAACCATTATGCCATCTGCAGTCCTTAAAACTCAAATATATTGGTCAGTTGGTCATGTGGTACTGCAGGATATTGAATTCCACAGAACCAATGTTCAGTTCAAGATCTGGGCCTGGCAGTTTGGAAAACATGCTGGGCACATATGTGTATGCCCAAAAGCCCAAAAGGAGGGAAAAGAAAAGAGAAAAAATTGTGGTGTAGCCATGTCCCATGTCCCCAGGTCCCATGGGGGGGTGCTTTCTCATTTTCCCTCTTTGTCTGTCTCTTGGGAGAGCACACGTACCCTCTGGAATATTATTAAAAAATCAAATCTGGGTGGACAAGCCGGTGGCATAATGGCTATGTCGCTGGACTCCCATGTAGTCGACGGTAGAGGGAAAC